CCCAAACCAACGTTTGTTTCGCATAATACCATCAACACACGTGCCACGCTCGGCTGCAATCTCATCAAAACGCCTGTGTAGTGTAGTGTGTATATATCACAATACAGGTCGTGTTCATAATGTGTACAAAACCAGCGGAAGAGAGAGAGAGAGAGAGAGAGAGAGAGAGAGAGAGAGGGAGGCCCCCCTTCCCTCGTGCGGATTTGCGATTTGCGTGTTAATGTATGCAGAAGCAAAGCGACTTCCTGGGCTACATACAGGTCGAATGTAGCCCCCACAGAGTGGATGTAGCAGCATTGACACGAACGTCAGTAAAAAAAAAAGCAAGCACAAAGGAAGGCGGAATGAGAGCAGGTCTTTCAACTCTGAGTCTTCCCATAGCAAACACCCACTTTACAAACTTTTGTTTTAGTAAGTGTTCCACGGCACTTGCAACACAACAAGGTCATATAAGTGCCGAAGATTACAGGTGTTACGAGAGAGTAACATACACAAAAAAGGAGGAGGAAAGAAAAGGACGAAAGATGTTTGATAGGAAAGAGGAAGCAAACCACACCAGAGTACCCACCAACCACCCAAGAACGCCACTAAAAAGCAAGTACAAAGGTTTGCGGAATGAGAACAGGTCTTTCAACTGAGTCTAACCATAGTAAACACCCACCTTACAAGCGTGCTATAAACGCCATATTGTTTGGACAAAAAAGAAGAACTTCGACACAATAATGGTCACTTGGCGCTAGGAGTTGGGAAGGTCGAGTTAAACTTTTACCCCCCCCCCCCCCCAAAAAAAAAAGAAAAACGTGTAGAGCAGGAAAGTACAACTGGTCGATTTTAGGGACAAGCGGGCTAACCAAGATTTCGGGGGTTTCCAGAAATCTTGACCTATACCAAAACTGGGGATTGTCCCACCTATAGGAGAAGTTTGGTTTCGTTGGTGTGTATATTTGTTTAGTTAAAGAGAAAACTCTCCTAGTATTTTACAGAAACTGAATATGGCGCAAAAACTTTAGCTTTGATTTTCTCAAAACAGCATGTTTCGGGACAGCCCCCTTGTGCTTAAAAAAGCGACCAACTTATCACTGGCGCCTTCCAACCACCCTTGCTGAGACACTGGGAGAACAATACAAAAGAACCATATTTTTTCCTTTTTTTGGGGGG